ACAGAAATAAGTATTGCATTTCATCCTAAAGAACTAAAGAATCAACTAAAGAACATCAACTAAAGAATCTGCAATAACAGTGGCAGACTCTTTGGGTACCTTTTTGATTTTTTTGATATTACAAAAAAATGTGCAATGACATCTCCTAAACAGAGTTTCTCTGATACTTATATACCTCAGTAGGGGTAGGACTGCATGATTCTTGAACTAGTTTTGACTGCATGGCAGAAGGGTATCTCAAAGAGCAGAAAAGAGGGTTGATATAGCAAATCTGGCCTTGAAATTTTGGGAGAACATTTCTGAGTGGAATGTGGGGGAATATGCTCCTCCTACCCAACCCCGAAATCAACAAAACCCCAATCCTGCCAGGCCCTTACAAGAGAGTATGAGCATCTTGCAAAGAAGGAAGACTTTAGAAACTCCAGCCCAGTCAGTCTCACATCAGCTCCTACAAGGTTATGTGGGAGAGGCCCCTAAAAATTATTACAATGTAGATATGAAAAAAAGTCAGTTGGGAAAAAATAAGCATGGGATAAGTAAAGGCAAGGAGCACCAACTTGTGGTCTTGCAAAAAGAGAAGCCTGTCTCAATGCACAAGAAGAGTGTATGTTCTTCCTCAGATTTATAAGGATTTTTGATGTGATCTCCAATGCTGTATCCTTATAAATCGATCAGAGAGAGAAGCTCAACAAAGACATTGTCTCAGAAAAAGAATGTAAGGTTATCACAAAGGCACCTAAAGCCCAAACATAAATCTAAATATATGCAATGATTTGGCTGAAATTAGCAAAAACTAATTCTATTTTGATGATTATATACATTCAGAGAAACAGTGATGAAAGAAATATATTTTAGATTAGCTTTTGTCAAGATTGATCCAGGTTTGGAAATAAAGATCCAGGTTTGGAAATAAAACAATGTAAAATAAAGCTCTCTAAATATTTGCAAGGATATTCAGTCACTTGAGTAAAAATCTGGAGGAAAAAATACCTGAAAGAAATCCTGCTTTGAACCCCACCTACAATTTCTTGATTAATATACAATCACATATTTTAAAACCCAAGATAAACACAAAGTTTTCAGAGTTTCTCATGTTCAGTACGTTCATATATATTCACTATTTCTTGTTTTCTTGAAATTTTCCCAAAGAATTGGAAATTCTGTGCTCTCTAAGGATATCTCTGGAAAACACACACTAATTTCAGAGAATACATTTTTAATCTTATTAATTGTGGAAAAAACCCCAAAGTAATCCCCTCTACTTTAAGGGACAATGGGTTACTTCTATTATGTAATGGAAACAATTTCACAAAGAGAAAACTAGATTTTTTTCAGCCCTTAAAAACTGCATGTGCAAATTGAAAAGATTAATAAACCCAGGAATACATTCTCAAGAAAACACCATGAACACCATATAACTTTTATTGCTATATGACAAGCTAATAAGACTGTACCTTGATTGTTTCCATTCTGAAGTGAAATAGTATGGATGCAGTAGCATGATAATAAAAACATTTAATTCAGAAGAACTGAAATACTGAAATAATTCAGGAAGTTGCATTATGTGTAAACTGATTTCATACATCTCATTAAAGATACACTATAAAGAATAAAGTTTGCATAATAACAATGCAAATGATAGAAATGTGAGAATTATAACGGGTTTCTGGATGAAACTTACTGGTTTCAGGTGAGCAATTTGATCAACAGTATACAGCTAGGCCATTCATAGCCAAAATTTAATTCTCTGTAAGATTCAATACACAGACTACACATGCCCTGGTTTTGGGGATATAAAGATGCCAATTCAAGATCAAAAAAGCCCTTATCTGCTCAGAGTCTGATGCATCATTTTAAATTCTGAAATGCAGGGAAGCCATTTGATGAAAATATAGAAGTTTCTCCTCTGTATAAACACAGAATAAGGGGTTGGAACCCATAGTTCTGCAGGCACCACTTACTGTGTATGGTGAAAAGGGCAAAGCAAGGGGAGCAAGGCCAGGAAAACAGCACACTTTGAGTAGCCTTCTCAATTACACAACTTCTACACAAGAGAAAATATTCATTTTAGTCAAGACCTGGCTTTTTCACTACTACCTTTGGAAAGAAAATTTTATACTGTCAGAAGTAATTGTCACTAGAAGTTTTCTTTTGTTTTTAAGAATTCACATACATTTGTTTTCCAGCTGACTTAAATCTGAGTATTTTAGCACTTGCTTTGAATATTCAGGGTTTCAATGAAGCAATCACGAGATAAAAGGCAGTATTTCAACCTATATACAAAGTTCAATACCATTCTCTTGATAAAGGCAGTTTAAGGTCTGCACTTACCACTGTATAAATGATCTTAATTGGGCATCCAGGTATGCAGCAGGCAAGTGGTCATCAGTAAGCATATGTGAGCTTTACTGTAGCAAATCTAGCCATTCTCACACTTAGATTGCAGCAGCACAGAGCTCAGCTCCGCCTACCTACTCAACAGACTGCTGGGTACTCTTATCAGCAGTAATTCACTATCAGAGGTGAATGCTGCCCTCTCAATGAACATTCAGATCAAGCTTACTAAAAGATAGCACCAGCAAATGTGCAAGAACTCCAGTAATGCCTCCTAGCCATAGCACAGCACACCCACTGCTGTACCTCACGCTGCCCTGAGCTGCAGTGGGAGAACAGTGAATGCCTGACCTCCTAAAGGTCCTGAGAGCTCCTGAGAGCCTCCATCGAGCTCCCTCAGAGGCCATTCCACAAACCACGTTCGGCACTGCAGAGGAAATATACCAGTCCTGCAAAGTTACTACTGAATAAGTCATTGGGGAGTCCTTCAAACAATGTCACTTTAATGGATGTGTTCTTTTATAGGGGAATGAGTGTAGGCTTAAAGAACTAACTCTCCTTCTAGAAACAAGTAATAAGTTGTTGATGCCACAGAATATTTTAACTCCTGCATACATCAAACTTTAATCATTATTACTTAAATGGAAAAGGCAGACAAAAGCATTCCTGTCTGAATTACCCAAAGTAAACACTCATAGCTGGTGAGTGAGCAGGATGGTTGCTCAGAATCTGCTGCCAGTATTGACTAGGTCACTACTGACTGTGATGATACCCCAGAAAACCGCAGAAAGCTTACTTTTAGATTTCAACAGCACTATGGCCACTTTTGTAAGTACCGAAACAGCTCATGTCACATGCAGATGCCATACAGCTGTAGAAATACTCTGCAGAGACTTAACAAAACTCTACTGCTAAGCTGGATACAGCTCCAGAGGTTTCCTTCATCATTCCCTCATGGCATTCCTTTTGCAAATAGAAGTTACTGAACTTTAGCACAACTACTGAGCAAGTTGGCATAAGACTGGAAAGTTAATCTATTTCAAAAGTTCTGCAAGATAGAATAAAGTCTGTGTTAATACCACTTTTTTTATCTAGGTGACAAGTGCCTTAAAATTAATACAGATAAGTAGACCAGGAATTCCAAAAATATTTTACTTGAATTATTTTTTTCAAGTTGATGATCAACTCTATTTTCTGCTAGCTTGAGAATATTTACTGACAATTGGTGTTTTTTCATGAGCCTCACAGGACTATTGGGACCTTATGTTAGGCATCTGGAAGATTCTGCATCACCTCCTTTACAATAACCATGCATTAAATTTGCATAAAATGTATTTTTTTCTGAGATTGTTAGCAGCTAAAATAGGACCCTACTCAAGTCTCATTACTATCACTTGAAACAAAAGTTTCCATTTTCTCTTTAAAAGAACCAATGTTCTGCAGTATGAAGCACTGGGCAAGAAAATATTCCAAATCATTACTCTCATGTAGAGGAACAGGACATGGAACAACGATACATACTGTCCACTTACAGAAAAGAAATTATAAAAATGCACACATCATGAGTAATGTTCTGCAGCCTTGAATGAAAAGTATGCTCCCTGCAAGGTTACTTAAATATTATAAAAATTTTCATTACCTAGGACAATACTGCTACTCTGTCAAGGACTGAAAGACCTTAGCTCTAGAGAACAAGGGGATGAAGAGATTACCTCAAGGATTTATTCACATAGGAGTGAACTAATTAAGAGAAATGGGAAACTGTCATGTCATTTATGAATGTACTCAAGACTTTTCTTATATACATAGAAGACAGATTTCAACAGCAAAAAAATTCCGCAAAGGAATTTAGGGTCAACATACTTGTGACTACTGTCAAATGTTGCAGTATGCACACTAAAATTCTTATCAGATCATTGACTGAAAGTCATGATAACATTCTACTCAGATCATAGGTAATCATTCCTATGGAAAAAAGATTATTTTTTCAGCATTTCAATATTTTTAAAAATTCATTGACAATGTTAATATAAACAGCATAACTGAATAAAACCAAAAGAGTCAAAATTACCTATACTAAATTTCATAGTACAAAATTTATTGCTTTTCTTTTTTTTCTCTGTAATAACCTGATATATGATAATTCCATTTAAACAACATTTAAAAGGGTTTGCTTTGAAAAATTAAATCCTAGAGACATTACGCAGTATAGCAGGATTTCCTCTATCTAATGAGCAAAATAAACCCAAACAAAAAATTTAAAAAATAATGAAAAAGAAAAAGACGTCATGATAGCTAGTGATAAAAAGAACAAAACCATTCCTTATTTCACTGCATTTTGAACTTATCACCACTCTTTCTTTCCCGGTCTTTACATCAACTGAGAGTCAAATGTTCCATTCCCATTTCTGAGGTCATTTGAAGTATAAAATATACATGCTTTGAATCTCCTTTCTTTAGGATAAAACACTTCTTTTAAGGAGCAAGCAAGGTTTCAGAAAAAAAAAAATTGACATGAAGGAAGCTTTCACTGTTAAGATATTCTCAAAGCAAACCTCTACTGATTGCCAATCTAGGAGGTGTAAGAATGAAACTTTGTAGTTTGAGACTGAAGAGATCAATTTATATTAGCTGCAAATTAAGAAATAAAGATGAAAAATACCTACCTTTCGGGAATGGATTTCTTTCACATATAGTGGAAGTAGAAATTCAGATATTCCTTCAAGTCGTATTCCTTTTTTAGTGACTCTCAAATTTCCCATTCCATCCTACAATCAATAATATATATATATTCACTTTAGGAAATAACCTTATCCAGAAAAACCTAAAAAGAAGACAGTAGTTGGCTTAACCCCTAAAAATAATGAGTGCTCTCCCACTGTCCCCAGCTCTTCTCATGATCTTGGGCAGGAGGTAGATGAGCACATTTATAGCCAGAGCTTAACCTAGGGCTGAATTATTTAACTGTGCAACCTGATGGTGACCTGCATACTTTATTTCTTGGATGAACCTAGTGCCAGGGTAAAACTGTAGATCATCATTATTCCCTGTATAGGGTGAAAATATTACAATTGCTGAATGCAATTTTATAATTGCTCAATTAAAAAACTATTTAATTTTCTCTATATATAGGTAACATTTTTTACATTTAAAGCAATTTATAGCTTGAATCCAGTGTTTTTGCTTTTCCCGGTGATTAAAATACATAGGAAAATATCATGTAGGAAGAGAGAAAATTTTTAGTGGGTGCTCATCACTACTAAAAGCATGTTACTCATTAACAACTTCAAAAATGCTAATTTTGATTGTTTGTGTTTATTTATCAGAATAGAAATAGGAAAGGCGCCATTGTAAAAGTCTGGATGAAACAAGCAAACCACAAAATTCAATGTTCAATAAAATATAAGCATAGAAAAGTGGCATAACAAGGCTTCAGCTGCACTCTTACAGGAAAAAAAAACAATGAAGCATGCTTTATACTCAAGAGACAAAATTATTTTGCACAACAATAGAAAGTCAAGATTTTTTTTTCCTGAGAATCTTGTTACTATGTTCCTGATAGCATAGTAACTCTTCACTGTAGAGCCAGTGGAATTTAACTTGATCCACTCAAGTGCAAAATAAGCACATTTAATGTAACCACTAATTACATATCTCAAAGCCATTGTTGACTCTGGTCTACTGGAACAATAAGAACTTGCACCTTTGCTCTGCTGGCCGAAGCGTGAAACAAGAAACCTCTGCCTACTGGGTAAACAGCTGGGTAACAGTCCTCGGCTGCCACAGCTGAATTGTCAAATAATGCTTCTTAAGAAAGTAATGGTGTATTTTAAAGTATTTATATCAAATAAAGTAATGTTTATACAAATATTTTCACACAGAAAACTTCAGGTATTTGTGGGCTTTCTAACAAAAAGTGGGAAAGGAAACAGTGATACCTGGTTTTGAAAAGGAAATAAATAAATTAGAGCTGGTTATTGAACGTGCAATTTGCATTAACAAAAATTAAGTCTCTATTTGATCAATCCTATAGTAACAGAATATAAAATTTTAATAGTGAAGGATAACCTGGGAAAATACAACAAGCATGCTGTCGTTTTTGTCAGTGAATAAATACTCAACAAGAATTAGGTATTTTTTTATTTATTGATTTGGATATAAATATGCTTTCTAAATGAAAAGGCAAATTCAATATTTCATTTTATCTGCTTCTGTGGAATGTTTTTAACTGACACACATAAACTATATTTACAAGAAAAATAGGGAAGAAGGGAAAAGGAGGAAGTAAAAAATAAACAAAAAATACACAAAAATGGAAATTCAAGCTTTCAGAAAACTAGAAATGTTGAAATTAAAGTTACCTAAGAAGCTTCCATCTGCTCTATCTTGCAAGTACGTTTAGGATAAAATTATATATTTATATGCGATATTTACCCTCCTGAATCTCAGCTTATTCCATACAGAATTAGCACAAACTTCAATCAGCAGCTACTCACTATTTTGCTTTGTTATTATTGTTTTTGCTCCTCATTTATTGTTATCTTTTAAAACTCTGCTGTGAAGACTGTACTGTCAGTATTCTTCTAGACTTCTGTTCATATAAGTGTTTATTACTGAAGTAATATCATTCCTCACAACCATTAATTAATTTTCAAAATACTTTCAGTAACTTTATATGGTGGTACTGTTCTTATGTTACTGACAGAGAGCTAAAGCACAAAATCAATTAATTCACTATGTTTTGATACTTATCATATTTTCTCTGTTTATTTTCAGCAGCAGGAAGTTAAATTGTAGAGCAAGATTAAACTGTCAGGGTCTCAGAAACAAAGTATTGATAGAGCCTACTGTGTCCATAAGGGCTTTCATTTTTCTGAGTGACCTTTCTAGGTACTCATTCTTTAGTCCTTCAGCAGAATCCAACAGACAGAAAGCAGACAGGCTCTGCATAGACAGAAGCACTAACTTCAGTAAAATTACGTGATTCAACACAAAAAGACAGACACTACGTTCTGGAGTCTAAGTCACAGATGGCAACCTCAATTCCTTGATAAACACAATAATCTTCCAGATAATTCCTGAGGTGTGTAATGACTGATGTGAAATAAGTCTGAATAGTAAAATACAGAATATAGTCAGACGTGTACCACTACAGGATGCTTAACGAAGATGACCCCACTAAAGAATTACTTCCCAGTATGTTTTTTTTCATCAATATCCCCTCCTTCAACTTTAAACAGAGGTTGGAATAAGAGCCTTTTCTTGTTTCATTGGGTTAAAACTGTGCTGTTAAAGAGAAAAATTTGAAGGTTTTCAAAACTAACACAACTTGGTTAAAAAGTTATTAATATTAAAAAGATTAATCAGAGAAGGTCCTTCTGCTTATTTCCCAAATAAACTCCATAAAGTTTAGGTTTTCCAGGCAAATAAAACTCAGATTATCCTTTTGGTGTGATTTGATTTTATTCAAGTGCAAAAATAGACTTGAATGAACTATGCCAGTACTTAAAACATGTGTCAGGTTTGGTACTGACTGGGATGGGGGTTCTCTTTCATCATAGTAGCTGGCATAATAGTGTGCATTTTTGGCTAAAACACACCAGTGCTTTGGCTATTGCTGAACTGTGCTTCCAGAGTGTCAAGCCTCTATCATTTTCCCCCCGCTTTGCTCCCAATGAGTAGAGTGGGGATGGCCAAGGAGTTAAGAGGGAAGGCAGCTAAGCCAACCAACCCCAAGTGGCCAAAGACATATTCCTCACCTGTAACATCATGCTCAGCAAGAAAAAGTGGTGGTAGAGCAAGAAGGGGGCTGGAGAGAACAAGGATTGTGTTTCAAAGTGGCCACTGCTTGAAGACACAGTGCTATATTTTGAGTGATTGTCTTTGCATTACTTTATGTCCTCTTTATTATTATTCGGTATTTATTATTATTCTGCATCTTATACCATGCACAACTTTCCATGTTTCTCATTTAAGAATATGAAACAAACTGTGACCCTGCCTCACTTACATTGTTTTTTCCCCTCACATACAAAGAAAAACAACCCCTTTACATCCATAAACATGTCTTCTTAGAGTACATCATGTTTCACTGATTAAAACCAGAAATTCAAATAAGAAGCTATTAAAATATGAAAACCAAGCATTTAGTTTATGCTGTTCTTTGTCTTAAAACTGCAGTAACCTAAGGAAGGGTTTTACTGACTTTGAACATTACATTAAAGGCAATGAAGTCCTAAACTATACTTACTATAAATCTGTGATAATGAGAATATAAATTTGAATCAGAACATAAAAGAGCTCTCCAGAAAAATATTCTGGGAGGCAAACAACAATACTGACATTCAGAGCTTTTTCAAGCTTTGACCTGCTTATAAACAGGCAGAGATTTATGTTCTTCGATGATCCTGTAAATGGTATATAAGAAAACCAGAGATTAATTCACACTGTCTTTAAACAGGCAGGATGATCTTTTACAAGATTAAGCTATTTCTTCACAATGTGCTGAGAATTCTACAAGGCTGCATTACTTATACAGCCTGTATAATTTCTGCCCAATAAACTATTACAGCAGCATGTTTTATGATAACTACAAATATAAAGTATATGCTATGAATATTTCTCAAGAACAATGAATACTTCTCAACAAGTCAGGAAGCTGGCTAAAACTACAGTCTGCAGTAGCCTGTCTACAATCTAAACTACTACAACTAGTCCTGAACTACACATATTGCTATCTAATGAAATAATATGGTGGTGTGCTTTCTTTCTTTTATTGTTCTCTCTCTGTTTTTCTTTCTTTCTTACTTTTATTTGTTTAAGCACTAAGACATTCTAAAAAAAAAGAAGAGGATAAAGAGTTCTACATAAATTGCTGATAAACCAGAAGTATGAAAGAACAAGCTTAGCTCTCTACACAATAAAGCCAGTCCTCTGTGACATAGATGACAACTGGAGACCTAGGACAGGATTCAATAAGCTGGCTTAGAAGATCTTTAAGCTACTAAAAGGGCAGTTTTGAAGCCAAGCTGTGGAATATATCAATTAGAAATAACATTTTGGAAATCAGAAACTATATCTTATATTTCATCCACCCAGATGAAATAACACCTCCTTGCACAAGATCAAACCCAGACCTTCAATGTTAGAAAATTCTGCAAATCCATCAATAACATTGCTATATAGGACATTAAAGACATTAGAAAGACATTAAAGTGGATAAAATATCTGCAATTCCTGTGTAAAACCACAGAATTCAAAATTCCTTGGTCTGGAGAAAAGAAGTTGGAAGGCATGATGCTCCGGGTCAGGAATGAAAACTCTCATTACATGGGGTGAGAACAGTACTCTGATAAATCCTCCAGTAATGTGTCATGCACATCATGAAGTGGGCACTGAGAAGGCAGTAAAGAACTCTGCTAACTAAAATGCAGCCTTTTTCCTTAGGATCATGAACTTATGTGCAGTAGCACAGTGAAAACTTAAAATGAAAAGTGAACTGAAGTGTTGGTTATTCTAAATTGACTAAAACATTATTAAATAGTATTTTATATTTCAAGTTTGCATGGCATTTTTTCTGACTTCCATAATAATAACAACATACACCAAATACATGTTTCAGTACTTTACAGCAGGAACAAACAAGTAGTTGGTGGGTCAGGAAATCCATTCTTATCAATAATATTCAAGGTTTTCAAAAGTTCTGATGTGATACCCTGCCTGCTTTCTGAGTATATATTTAAGCCCAAACTCTGTCTCCAAAAGCTCA